TAGAAAAAGATGTTTTTTCTTTAGAATCTGTCTCTGTCATCACCGTCGTCGTTTTCTTTACTTCCAGACGAAGTAGCCATGTATATACCTTCAGAATTTATATGATTTTGTTGTTTATCCATTTGACCATTCAGACTCTATGGGCATATGTTAACTGTTATAAATCACGGAGCTGTCAAATTCAAACTTACTTAGTCTTTGAGTTTCACTTGAATCAACAAGTATACTCTGTTCTTAGCTCACTTCACTTCCGCAGTTAATTAGTTTAGCCTCAAACCCTCAAAGTTGGTCCTTCCTTGGGACGGAGAGCTAGATCCTACTTTAGATGGCGTGAGCCGCTCCGGAGTTCTCCATGACCCGAGTCGAAAACCCATTCTCTCACGGTCAAGGTCTTTTCTCCACTCCAATCCCTTTTAAGCCTTCTTTTCACAAATAAAATAGGCGTATGAAATGATATTTTACAGCCGCAATAGTAAAAGCCATAATTTACTATTATAAAAAGCCTCGTTTCAAACTTTCAAGTGAGATTTTGCTAGATTCATGATGAGAAGTGTGTTTATTGAGCGGAAAAAAAATCGAAACTTTTGCGAAGGTGGGACTCACACCGTGCAAGAGAGCAAAGAAGAGGAAATGTGATATCTTTATGACTAAGAAAATAAAAAAAAAAGTAAAAATAATGTTGGAACAATTTTTTGGAATAAACAAATGGGCTTTATATTGGGTATATGGTTTATGCCAAATTTGTTTGAATTGAATGAGAAATAGTGCATTTGGGCTATAAAGAGAAAATCCCTCTTGTGGTTTAATGAATGGGGTGTGATTTGTCTCACATCTATTAAAAGAGAAATTTTCTTTTAGTATATATAAAAGAGTGAAGATGTGTATAAGTTGATGGTGCATGCATGGTCTTTGTCTTGGTATATGGACCCTTGGCCCAATAAATTTTTTTTTACCAACTCCATCAAAAATGTTTTATCTAAACAATAGATAAAAAAAATGGTGCGGTTTTTTGAATTAAAAACTTGTGACCAAGTTAAGATTTGAAAACTTGGCTGCACCTTCTGATTGCAGTTAAAAACTTGAAAAAGTTGTTTGTGATGAATTGATATTTCTTTTAAAGAGACGTCATGTTGTCACTGATCCACATCGGGACAAAAAACCACCTATAAAAAACAGATTATGAAAAAAAAAGATGCAAATTGACCATTAGCAAATTCATCATCAATTACATTTCCAACGACTTCACTTACATTTTCAATTCCAATGTTGTTCTTGAAGGCCTTTGAAGGATTCACAAATTGGAACAGCCACAACAACATGAAATTTCACAAACAACACACGAATTTTATCTCCAAACTCTTTGAAACTCCCATAGAAAGGGAATGGTGAGCTAAATCATCAATCTTTTTCGATCTGAGCAATGGGGTTTACTGTAGCTTTTGCGATCCCACCACCAACATCTTTCTGTTTCTCCAGGTGACTTTATTATTTTTCTTTCTGCAAAGTTATTATGTTTTGTTCTTCGTTACTAAAAAGCTTTTATCTTTTGCTATAGGGTTTCTTTTACCAAGCTCTCATGTCTCAGTGGATCATCCTTTTCTCCTTTACTAAAGAGGTAAGATTAGTGTTGATAAGTAAAGTATATTCGGTTTTTTTCCCGTTGGATAAGGAAAGATTGTCCGTGATATTCTTTTAACCTTAAACACATGGATATTGGGCAACATAATACCTCATAAAATACTTAAAAAAAGTTGTCTGTGATGAATTGATATTAGACTTCAATGTCCATGTGTTCGATGTGGTGCACCTTTTGAGTGCATGTTTTATATTCTTATGTTTTTTGCTGTTTAGGATGTCCTTATGTTTAAACTTAACTTAGCTAATCAAAATCTAGAACATGGACATTTCATACACAAAAGATGTTTGATGAAATATCTCGTAAATTCCTAAACATTTTATTCTTAATCAATGGAGATTAATGTTTAAGTTGATTAGTTGACTTACTGAATTTTTATTTAATAAAAATAAATCA